ACTCTTGTGGGACACTCTTGTGGGACACTCTTGTGGGACACTCTTGTAGGACACTCTTGTGGGTCACTCTTGTAGGAGACTCTTGTGGGACACTCTTGTGGGACACTCTGTGGGACACCCTTGTGGGACACTCTTGTAGGATACTCTTGTGGGACAGTCTTGTAGGACACTCTTGTGGGACACTCTTGTGGGACACTTTTGTAGGACACTCTTGTGGGATACTCCTGTAGGACACTCTTAAGGGACACTCTTGTGAGACACTCTAGTGGGACACTGTTGCTGGACACTCTTGTGGGACTCTCTTCCAGCTCCCCAGATACTCCGCGTACTAAAGTTGTACTACAAGGTCGCCAGTTCTCAGCTTCCAGCTCCCCAGATACTCCACTATACAGTTGTACTACAAGGTCGCCAGTTCTCAGCTTCCAGCCCCACAGATTGCTCCGCGTACTCAAGTTGTACTACAAAGTCGCCAGTTCTCAGCTTCCAGCTCCACAGATTGCTCCGCGTACTAAAGTTGTACTACCAAGTCACCAGTTCTCATCTTCCAGCTCCCCAGATACCCCGCGTACTAAAGTTGTACTACAAAGTCGCCGGTGCTCGCCTGCATTTCGCGCGCTCGACACGCACGATCTCCGCAGAGGGTTGCGCGGGCACCGGACAAATCGCACTCTCGCCTGCATTTCGCGCACTCGACACGCACGATCTCCGCAAAGGGTTGCGCGCGCATGGGACAAATCGCACTCTCGCCTGCATTTCGCGCACTTGACACGCACGATCTCCGCAGAGGGTTGCGCGCGCATGGGACAAATCGCACTCTCGCCTGCATTTCGCACACTCGACACGCACGATCTCCGCAGAGGGTTGCGCGTCAAGTCTCCAAAACGAGCGTTTCGTACGAGACTTCCTCAAAAACTCACACGTCAAAGTCTGCAAAACGAGCGTTTCGTACGAGACTTCCTCCAAAAGTTAAGCGGAAACACCCATCGGAGCACACACATCACGCAGCCCTGCCAAGCAGTTTCGCGATTCCAGCCCCTCCAAACAACATCCGCTCACACACCAATCCCAATGGGACAGCGACATTCACCTCTACCACAACTCACAACCTCACGATTCCCTGCGCCTGCCACGAATCTTTCCCCATCCACACGTCTAACGCGCACAAAGTACTGCGCCTGCCACGACATGTGACCTCCGTCACCCACGAGAATCGCACTTCCACGCCTCAAAACCCGCACAAAGTCCTGCGCCGGCCACGAAAAGTGACAATATCATCTCCTGTGAGCTTCAACAAAATTTGCACCACACCACACGTTTGGAATGATTTCGACCCATTCTGAGCACACTCCCATCCACCAAAATCGCCATTTCAGCTGAGACTTGTCACGAAAACCGAGCTTCGATGCCACACCCTGAAACGCAAATCCCAATGGCACGGCCACATCCAACACCCCAAAAACACGACTCTCCAAACGCTAATCCCAATGGAACTGCGCGGCAATCTGCGGATCTCACAAAACGCTGCGCCTGTGCAGCGAAATGCATCACGTTTCATGCGCGACATGTCGTTGTCATGCAAATCACAATGGAATAGCGTCGCAAACTGACACGTGATACGTCCATGCAAAGTCACTTGCAAAAGCTTCCCCCAATGGCAGCAAATTTGAGACGCGACGACGACGACAAACGACGACAAACGACGAGAGACGACGACAGACGACGACACGACGCAAGCCACGCGAACACAGCTCCAACCCCCAGACCCCCAACTATAAACGGGAACCCTTCGCTACGCATTCGGGAAAAAACATGCAAAAGGCCTACGCCATCCCCTTGAACAACAAAGAAAACCACTTGGCAGTCGTTTGATTCCCCCGGTTTGCTCAGAACTGTCCCAATCCCTCCTTCTTTACCGTGCCAGACGTCCTTCCTGAACCCTTGTGCCCCAGCTATGCCAGAAGTGCGCGGTGAATTTTGTGGGTGTTTCTTTAATCTGCTCTGGCTGTTGCATGCTTTGAAAAATGTGATTCTGCTCTTGTACTTCTAGCAGTTAAACGAGGTTTTGTTTCACAGTTGGTTTTGACTGAAATCCTGCTAGTCATATCTTTGGGTCGTTTTTGTTGGGCTGTATATTTATTTTTGATTTCCCGGCATGTGGACGCGGCACGCTTTTAGGGGCAGTTGGTCCTACATTTTGGCGCAGCCTGTTGGTTGGGGAGGCGTTGAGGCCTGGTGACCTGACGGCAAAGTTTGTTGGGCAAAGCCGGAACCGCGCGCTCAAAGCATCAGAGGCCATCAGCAAGTCCTCTTCTGAACCGAAACTGCTTTCCTTTTGCGCAGCGCCACCGCTCACGCACACCCATTGTGTGTGTGCACAACACCTCTTCGCGCGCAGGGGTGCAGGATCCCAAGACACAGCTTACATCCGGTCCAGAAGGTATTGATTCTGCAGTGGGATGTTTTGCTAGCTGCCAACACTTGCCTGCAACGAAGGTTTGCAATCTTGCTCGAGAGCTTTTGTGGAGTTCTACTTTAGTATAGGATCGGGTTCTATGTCGCTCACGTGGCCAGAGTTTCTCAGTCAAGTGTTCTCAAGTCCCACACAGGTGTCGCAAGCCAAGTGAGTCTAGATATGCACCTTTTGGAAGTGCGGCAGCACAAGAGCAAGTGGAGCAAAAGGTCATGGCGCAGGTGGGGAGGCACACCCTTTAGTTATTTGTCCAACATGCTATGCAGGCCCCACCAACAAAAAAACAACCCGTGCCACGTGTGAGAAACATCCTTGACAGAATGCAATTTCAAGGGAAGGTGCGCATCAGTGGTGGTAGCAGTACTAGTAGTAGTAGTGGTGGTGGTGGTGGTAGTAGTAGTAGTTGTAGTAGTAGTAGTAGTAGCAGCAGCAGCAGCAGGAGCAGTAGCAGTAGCAGTAGCAGGAGCAGGAGCAGTAGTAGTAGTAGTAGAAGAAGTAGTAGTAGTAGTAGTAGAAGTAGTAGTAGTAGTAGCAGCAGCAGCCAAGTAAAATCAAGTGGAAGGAAGACAAACCAAGAATAGCATCAATAATCATCAATAAACATTGTTTAAGAGGGCCAAAACAAACATGCAACAAACACATTAAAATTTCACAACTTCGAACCCTTCCCTACCGGAGGCTCCATGGCGCTGCCAGGTGCAACCTTAAAGGTGCTCGCCTCTCCGCAGCTCCGGCGCGTCTCGCCGTTGGCCTCGGCGCCGAAGATTTCCCGCTTGGCCTCATGAACGCTGCCGCGGCTGCGCAAGACCGCCTGACCTGGGCACCAGTGAGGACGGCCTGCATACCCTTCGCTCTGTCAAAACTTCTTGAGTTGTGCCAAGAAAACTTGAAATAAAACAGTCGATCTGCTGAACCCCCGGCCCCTAAGCCTACTACAATTTTACCCTTGCTTTACTCAGCTGGGCAGGTGGCAGCCCCCTCCATCTTTCCCCTTTTCCAATGTTTGGCAGGTGCGCCTTGTGTTGGCACTTCTGAGCGCAACTGAATTCTGACAAACAATAAGGAGAAGAAAGGAGAGGAGGAAGGATGGAGGAGGGAGAGAGCGAGAGAGAGAGAGAGAGAATGGTGTGAGGGATCGGAGAGGTCCTGCATGCACTTTGATGAGCATGTTTGAGCCCTAGCTGCTAGCTCCTTTTGCTTGGAGTTGTTGCGGTTGCCCCACTAATACTTTTGAATCCAAGTGGCACTTGAGGCAGTGGGCACGATCGTTCAGCCACTGGGGCACGCACCTGAAACTTGCATTTCCAAACGGCTCGCTCTCTCGCTCTCTCTCGCTCTCTCTTTCTCTCTCTCTCTCTCTGTGTCTGTGTCTGATGCAGTTTAGCATGCTGCATCTTCCCACCCTCTATGAACACGGAGATGCACAAAAGAGGTCTGCCCAAAATTCTTTCTTTTGAACGCGGACCTGGAAGCTATGGGAGGCATCGGGCTTGGGTTTTCTCACTGTTGGTTTGCAATGCTTTGCGATGTCAATCATGTTCCTCATGTTTCCCAATAGAAAATACATGTCCCCGCAATTCAGCAAAAGAAATTTAGTATCGCAAGCTGGGACTGTAGTCTCTAGCAAAGAATTGAGCTACTTATGTGCGACTCCTAGTTCCCTGCTCTTTGGCATTCTTGTGAACCACAATCATGCAAAAGAATGCAAAAAAAGAGTCAATGTGGGATGTTGGAAAGGCAACCTTCGGTGGTGGCAGTGTCGAGGAGGTGATTCGGCTCGGAACTTGAGAGCCAAGAAAAGGGGGAATGTAGGATACACTGGCCCTCCAGAAGTGCATATCATCAAATGTCATCAAATATGATCAGTGCATGGTTGCTATTCTTTTGGAGAGTGGATTATCCGAAGCAGTATGAACGGAATCTCATGAAACAGCAGTTCTTCAAGCAAGGCGCTTGTAGCCGCACTTGTCGCATTCCATACGGATGCGGTCCTCTGCGATGGCCATCTTGGGGAGGTCACGAGTGAAGCGCAAAGAGGTCCGCTCCTACTGCCAAATCCCGCCTTGAGGTAAGTAATGACGCACACATGCAAAACGCGAAGCATGCAAACTGATGCTCATGCGATCCGCAAGCTTGCGCGAAGAGAAACACGCCATATGTCTACGAGTCATTTCTTCATGACTTTCGCCAAACAAATTCAGAATCTTCCCTGGGCAAAACCGGTGCCACTTCAGCCCACACTGGCCAGCAATCTTGCGTCACCAAATCAATTCCACATACACCCTGGAAGACTAACATGGAACCTGAAAACCCCTGGTTGGTAGAGGAAAATAGTCTTCCATGGGACCATTGTCAGGGTCTATGTTAGTTTTCGGGAGTGTATGTCCACTTCAACACCCCAGGAACGGGGAGGAGGAGGAACCCCAAACCGCCGGATTACTAGCAGAAGGAAGCTTCCGAACGGTGGCCATCGCTACTCGCCGCCATCGCTACGGCCGGTGACTCCGGTGACTCCACCGGGGATCCGCGCGGCGCCTGGGGGCGAGACCTGGGGGGGGCGGACGACCCCGACTCGGTCGCCATGGAGCGAATGGGTGGAATGGGAAGACGTTTGTTTGGATCTGAAGAGTTCAATTCGGTGCAGTGGGGTGCGGCCAGTTTTGAAGCTATCTTCAGTGGGAGATGCTTCATGATGCTTCTCTTTTGATTGGAACCTGGTTGGTTTCTCACCACATCTCCAAATCCTCCACCTTGGGCTTCTCGAGATTCATCGGAACACACCCGGATTCATCGGAACGACCGGGTGTGCCGTTTGGGCCTTTTGGGCCTTTGGCGCCGCGTCCGGAGACCGCCGCCATCTTTGGGCGAGCGATGTCGACATCGCCATGGTGTCAGGCCATGTCGTCGCCCCCAAAAACCGGGCGAGGTGTAAATACAGTGGTTTCAGAGGTTCAATGGCACTGGGGTTTTCCAAGATGTCCCTTTTTCTCCTGGGGAGTCCACTGAACCACCAAACTTGGGGTATCTTGTGCCATCTACTCTGAATCCGCTGTAACGGTTGTAGCGTTGAAAGTTGAATGTTCGGTTCTTTGGAGGTTCAAGTCCATGAACCTGTTCGTCCCGCGCGATCGCCCGCAATGCCCCTTGTGGCGGGTTCGCCAATGACATGCAGGGGTTGGGTGACCGCCAGCCGCAAGAGACTTGGACGGGTCCTGGACCCAGAAAAGCTCAAGCAAAGTCCGTTGACAGCACACCTCAGCCAATGATCATTCCAAGTACGACACTTGGAGCAACTCCGCTCCACGTCGAACATCAGGGCTGACCTCCGGTAACTCTTGCATTCCCATGAGTTCCCCAACACCCTCCATCACACTTGCATAAAGAAAGGTCGCCGTGCGGGTACTAATACTTCTTAATTATTGTGATTTTCTATATATAATTATATAGTTGTTTGCAAGATCTGAAGCACGCAACTACTTAAAGCACACGTGGGTGGCCAGTCGATGGCTCCTGTTGGGCGTTCTTTCTTGGAGGCACATGTGCACGACCCCGTAATGTCATGGAATATGACATCAACGTGGAGACACCACAACTCAGCTGACATGGTGTGACTTCCGTGTGTCCTCTGATTAAGGATTGCAGTAAGGGTGAGGTAAGCCGGACGCGGGTGGCCTGACCAAGGGTCGCAAACTGATGCAACGACAGAATGAACTGAACCAGTCCACTTTACCATGAAACCGCACGAAAAACTTGAGATGAACCGCTCCCAGAAATCAAACGAGGCCAATTCATTTGGCCACTTGAAGATAGCTATAAATAGCTTACCAGTCACTAGAAGTCGGGAATACTTGTCCACACCTGGAACGATTCTGACTGTAGTGCTGACATGGCTCACTTTCCCATTTGCAGATTGCTATCTGGAAGTGCCTGGAAGTGGCTGCAAAACAACCGGTTGCCCCTGGCCATTCTCCGGCTTTTGCAGCGAGTAAAAAACAACACACTGTACATCAACACCCCGTTCACCCCGATCCACCCCGCTCCGTGCAGCAAGCCAAGCTTCGGCTTCGGCGCCTCATAGGTACCCTAGCCCGCTGGGGAACGCCATGGGATCAGGTATTCGCCCAGGAGCAATGCCATTCATTGAGAAAGGAAGGCCGTCATGGCCCAGAACCTTGGAACCACTTTTGACCAGACTCCCGCTTGGAACCAAGAACTAGGAAACATCTAGGCTCCTTAACAGCGGTGGTGATGGTCCCACCCTAATGTTGGATGCTGATTAATACATGGGTTCTCTATCATGCTAATTTTTTCCGAAAATAATTCTGGAACCATGTTTGTTTTGAGGGTTCTCTATTATGCTAGATTGTTTGGGGATCCCAATATCAATCTGTTAATATATATCTGAGACATTAATGTTCAAATTGCTTCGGAGATCTGCGAATACTACCAAGCCATTGACTGGTTTGCTGAGAGTATTATTGGTAATCATAAGTTTCTTTAGTTCTTCGAAACTCACAGTTTCCCAACGCCTTCAATTCCTTAATCAATCCTTTATATAAAGATTGTTCCTAAACAAATTTTCGAGGTAGTAGACCAAGAAGGCCCCTGATCCACTAATCTTGTCTTACGGGTTCTCAATTGTGTAAAGTTTGTCACCCAAAAAATCAAACAAACAATTAGATTATATATAATACTACTAAGCCAATGGCTGGCTTGCTGAGAGCATTATTGGTAATCAAAGGTTTCTTTGGTGTTTCAAAACTCACAGTTTCCGAAAGCGTTCAACTCCTTCATCAATCCTTGATATGTTCCCAAACAAGTTTTCAAGGTAGTAGACCAAGAAGGCCCCTGATCCTAAAAAATAGTTTTGTTTTAACGGGTTTCAATTGTGCAAAGACTTTTCACCAGAAAAAACGAAAAACACTCAAATCTTAACACTACTAAGCCAATGGCTGGCTTGCTGAAAAAAATATTGGTAATCACAGGTTTCTTTCGGCCTTCACAACTCACAGCTTCCCAAAGCATTCAATTCCACAATCAATCCGTTATATAAAGATTGCTCCTAAACAAATTTTCAAGGTAGTAGACCAGGAAGGCCCCTGATCCTCAACAATAACTTTGTTTTAACGGGTTTTAGTTGTGCAAAGACTTTTCACCAGAAAAACGAAAAACACTCAAATCTTAACACTACTAAGCCAATGGCTGGCTTGCTGAGAGCATTATTGGTCATCATAGGTTTCTTTCGGTCTTGAACGGTCCAAAGCAATCAATTCCTTCATCAATCCGTTGTGTAAAGACTGCTCCTAAACAAATTTTGAAGGTAGTAGACCTCAAGACCTGCTGAAGATCTTAGGTTGCATAGGAAATGGATTGTTGAAATATAATGAAGTACCTATATAGCTTCAAAGAACCTGAGAAAGGAACATGAATACTACAACCAATTACAAAGGAATCCTCTCAGGAACCCAGATTTGTTTTGGCGGTTATTTGTTATAGAAGGCATCCCATTTCTTTAGAGGGGGGCCCCTTTACTAATCAGGATGCAACATTACTAGTGATGGCCCCCAACCTAGGGCACGAGTATCTTAGAGACAATGCAAGAAAATGTGGCCACATGACTGGACAACGCTGCGTGCCCAGAAGCCCCCTGCCCCTGCGAGCGCACATCTCGAGCATCTCGCCCGGAAAGGCTTCCAACGCCTCAGGGTGGGGCCGGTCGGGATTCTTCTGCTCCGATTACCCATGGCAAAAGTCCAGAAAATTGGACTATCACCCGGGACTCGTCTGGACATTGATCTTTTCATATGTCATCTATTTTCCTTGGAAGCTTGCATTCACATTCACAAAAATGGGAGCTCCATGGATCGACTCTGCCGAGAACGTCAGAATTCACAATCCCTACTAACTGGTCCGTGAGCTTCTCGTTTGATCTTCAAGTCATGAGGTCTTCACGATTGCAGCGTCAGCATGAGAGCTTGGACAAGACATTCTGGATGCCGCAGTGCAACTTGGCGTTCGTTTTTGCATGGTATGACCATACAAGGCCGGGTGGTACGTAAGGCTGTCTCTCGAAAACCTCGGGTTCCAAGCCTCTTATTGCGTCCACGCAAAGACCTCGCTTCTGTGGGTGTTTCCTGAACGTCCCGGCCTTTCGGCCTTTTTGAACCGTCCCCCAACATCCGAATCAGGACATAAAGGGATTGGTGCCTCACACTCCAAGTGAGTTTTCCGGTCATTGTGCCTGTGATTGGGAAAGAGCATGTTGATTGAGCCCGGTAATGACTTGGTGTCCCAACATGCTGGATGCCCAAGGCCTCTTAACTGTGGAGATGTGGAGGATTTCTCAAATGATGGGGGCATCAATTGAAACCAGAACAGATTCCGGATGTACTGCTACTGTATTGCTGATGCTTCAACGACCATCCTTGTTGCGGACCTGCCATATTCGCAAAGCATGATACACAACGGTTCTATAGGTGCCACGAGGATGACCATGACAAAACTACCTGAGCACCCTTCTCAAAGTATGGGCATCGTTGGTGAGTGGATAGCTCAACTCCCCAAGCCTCATCCCCTGTGCTAAATGGTCTGTGAGCTTCTCGCTTGATCTTCAAGTAATGAAGTCTTCACGTTTGCAGCGTCAGCATGAGAGCTTGGACAAGACATTCTGGATGCCGCAGTGCAAATTGGTGATTGGTGTTCGCTTTTGCATAGTATGACCATACAAGGCCGGGTGGTACGTAAGACTGTTTCTGAAAATCCCTCAAGCCTCTTACTGCGTCCGCCCGAAAGACCTGTGGCTTCTCCGGGTGTTGCCTGAACGTCCCGGCCTTTCGGCCTTCCAGAACCGTCCCCCAACATCCAAATCAGGACATAAAGGGATTGGTGCCTCAAACTCCAAGTGAGTTTTCCGGTCATTGTGCCTGTGATTGGTAAAGAGTATGTTGATTGAGCCCGGTAATGACTTGGTGTCTCACCATGCTGGATGCCCAAGGCCTCTTAACTGTGGAGATGTGGAGGATTTCTCAAATGATGGGGGGCATCATTTGAAACCAGAACAGATTCCGGATGTACTGCTACTGTATTGCTGATGCTTCAAGGACCATCCTTGTTGTTGCGGACCTGCCATTTTCCCAAGGCATGATACACAACGCTTCTATAGGTGCCACGAAGATGACCATGACAAAACTACCTGAGCACCCCTCTTAAGGTATGAGCATCGTTGGTGAGTGGATAGCTCAACTCCCCAAGTCTCATTGAGAGAAGGCTACTGAAATGCAACCCCTTCAACAATTTTTAGAATTCCTACACCCTGAGCGCCACCCTTAGCCTAGCAACCATCCCCTCACACTTGGTCAAGCGTGTTTCATCGTCTTTCTATGAATGACATGCGGCAGTTCACCAACCAAACCGGTTGCAAAACATCTGATTTCATATCCTGCCAAGCTATTGACTGCCGGCTTAGCCGACCAGAAGGGGGGCAGGAACTAACTCAGATTCTTTGTCACATTGGTCCGTGAAAACCTGTTTCAAATGTTTTTGGATGCT